TTTTTAAACATCTCATCACAAACACACTTGATAGTAATCTCAAGCCTTTTTAACACATTTATATGAAATATCATTAAACATATGTGACTGTTCTTTTGGGCTCTATTTCAATGCAAAAGGCTAACTTTTTCAGCAGCAAATTATACCCCACATTCAGCAAGATGTGTAATTTTTTTACCGTATTTTTCCCAGGGATGAACAAGCTTAACTAGTGCTGTAACATGAATGTTGTGGTATACTTACAATTCACCTCCTATATATTCTATTCTTTTAGAGACAGTTTGCTTGGCTTCTACAAGATCCTGTGGAACAAGGACGGGACCTAACATTTTGTAAACCTTACAATCTGGTTCCAGTAGATTCAATTCCTGAAAAGTCAATTGCATTAAAGTAGTTAATTTGAGATTTTTTTTTAGGATAGTAAATAAATACATTAATCAGGCTATCTTACATTATACAGACATTATTTTATACATTTATAAGGGTCCAATTAATTCCTACTGTACAAGAATGTGCACATCACTCTGCAAGGGTGGATTATTTTTCAGCAGGGATTGTGATTTCTTACAAGAGGGAACTGCTCATCAGGGGAAATTATTCCCAGGGGTGAAAATATACTTGAAGGGATGCGGAATTTTCCACAAGGGTGGGTCATTTTCAAGCAGGGATAGGTAATTTTACACAAGGTATAAATGTGATCAAATATTTTCTGGAAGGAGTGTGTAGACTTGCAGGGGTCGAGATTTTTTATTTTATTTTATTTTTTTATTATTTATTTAGGCACACAATACATGTGCCAAGGATTGTCAATAGCGAATATATATCACTGTCCTACTTGTAGGTGACAATCCCTTACACAAAACAAACATACACACACAACGCTTTATACAAACTAAATCTCAATATGAGATTTAGGGAGTGGAGTTGTTTTGGTCGCAAGAAAAAATCCTGCAAAACTGACAGGAATTGAACCCATAACCTTAGGATTGGAAGGCAAGCATCTTAACCACCAAGCTATTCAACTCCACTTTGGAGAATTGTCCAAAGTAGGGGTAGAGAATTATCCTGGAGTTCGGAATTCACCATAGAGATATAATAAGAATACTAGAATTTCGATGTTCGAAATATGCAGAGCTGTGTGTGTGTACCATCCAAGATGGCTGCCATTGATTCAGCCAATCAAATTTCACCTAAGCACTATCATTTTTAAAGGCGCCCTCAATTTGCACAGAAAGATCAGTATAGCTAGTTACCCGTATGTTTGAAACTCGAGCGTTGCGGTGTATTGGTGTAATGTACACAATTTTAATTTTTTTTAAATTTTGAATAAGGCTCTACTTGGCCTATTTTTGTCTAAGATAGTTTAATAATTTGTTATTATCAATACTAATTATCAATAATGAAATAATAGTCAGTCAGAGGGCTTATTTATGGTAATATATGTATACTAAGCCTGAAGGTGGCGCTTTCCTACAGTGGCCATCTTGGATGGTACACATACATATCTCTGCATTGCTTCACCATCTTGTCAGCACTCTAGCTGTTTAATAGCTCTATGGAATTCACTCAAAAGGAGGGATAATTATGCCCAAAAGTGGGTAAATGTCTGGAAAAAGATGTTATTCCACAGCAGCGGTGGCAATATTTTCCTGGGGGCCCGAAGGTGAAGAAATTGCAGGTATAAAATTTTTTTAAGTGAGAAATTTTACAAGATATTTCACAAGACATTTCCCAGGATTTTTTGAGGAATAAAAGTACATTTCTGTTAACGCTGAAAGGCTCGGCAGTAGGGAAGGCCTGACGTAGCAAAGTATGCTCTTAAATGATCTCAGTTTTAAAATGTAATACAATAGAATTCTTCAATAAAAGATTATGTATGAAATTTAAGAGCTTACATCTTTTACAATTGTGTTTTCGTTCATCTGAGCATCAAGCTGTTGACGTGCTGTTGCTGCCATCTGATATTCTGATAGGCAAGAAGAAATAATGTAAACAGATTTATACAGCAAAAACATATCCTTCCAGAAACTAAATAGGGGTATGCTGATGATGATTAGGACGTAGAACCTACAGTACAGGGACAGATCATCAGAAAAGATGATACTGCTGCTCTGCAGGAAAGTCACAACCAACAGCAATCCTACACCAGTGTTCCGCACACTTTTAGGCCCAATAATATAAATGGTGTTCAGTAAAGGCTCTGAAACCACTAATGGAATTAAAATCAAACTTGGCAATATAGACATCTTTTTGGAGAGTATTTTACTGGTTTTACATACATTTAAATGGGGTTTTTTTTGGTGCCTTATAAACACTTTATAAAATAGGACAAGGCCAAAAGCAAAAAAGTGAGCCAACACAATCATCATAATTTACAGACTTCTTTTTATTGAGACAAAAATAGGCTGAGCCTTTTACTAAATTCAAGGCTTATTATTAATAATAAAAGTATTACGTACTGTAAAGTCTAGGCCAACGTCATCATCAGGAAAAAATAGGGACCCCAAAAAATTACCTACATCCAGATGACACTCTGCATAGTCAAGGTTTGGATGTTCCACAAACAAAGGTCCCCACCCCATTCCCCCCAACACACACACACGTTCATTACACATGTCCAAAGTGTGTCGGAATTCTAATGACTTGGGCAGTTAAGTTCCGGTGGCAAAACAATAACCACGGCGAAAATACGTTTAGTAGTAGACCTGCACCCCTCTATATGGACGTAGGCTAGGCTAGCTTTTTTTACACAATATGGTGACTCGCCCTAGCCCAGGCTATGGAGTGTACTGTAGTATGGCGCCTTGGTCTAAGATCTTCGAGCCTAGTCCAGGGAAGTCCTTTTATATATAGCCTGCTTAGAGTGCCTAGCCTAGGCCCACCCTCCCTAGGCCTGCCCAGCGCTAGACCAAGGCATAAAGCCTGGCCCACACGCGCGGCCAGCCAGGCCCTAACCACAGGCTAGTTACTAACCTACTAATAATATATCGAGGTAGGCTAGGCCTACAATAAAAGACGAAATTATTTGTTGTACTGGGCATTCAATGCTTTAAATAAGAAATACCTTTTTGGGCAGCTCTTAATTTATTAACTTCCTCTTGTAATTTCTTCTGGATTGCTTGTTGTTCCTTTTCAGACCCCATTTTTGCCCACTTTTTAAGAGGTGTTAATAATGAGACGTCGATCGGTTCGGTTCGCCCGCGTGTGTGTGTTTCAACACCCAAATGCGTTTATAAACTCTCGGTAACGTATCTTGTCGTCTTTAGTAAACGCATTCATTCATGATGTAGAGTAAAGATGCAGTACACCATGAAGAAAATATATTAAATTTTGTCCATATGATTAAACACAATTAATTTCCTTTGTAATTGATTGGAGGAAAAATTCATCGAATGTCAATTATTTTAAAACAAATAGACAGTAACTCCGAAAACAGACAGAGACATTTTAGAGTCAACGTTTCGATCTATTTGATCACTTTCAAGAACAGTATTCTTGAAAATGATCAAATAGATCATCGAAAAGTTGAATCTCAAAATGTCTCTGTCTGATCATTTCGAAGTCACTGTCTTTTTGTTTTATTTAAGACTAATTAGTGAATCCTATGGCTTTTTTCAATTATTTTACTTTTTTTGTTCAGTGTTTTGTATAGACCCTATACCTGTAATCATTTTATCCCTGTACATCAGAAATCTTGGTCCATAATAATGTGTGAGCTTGAGTCCGTTATTATATGAGAGAAATTGCATGGGGTTAATCTACGTATTCATGATCAGCAATGAATATGACACTCACCCTGATAGCGAGGGGTTGCAGGTTCGAATCCCGACAGATATTTTTTTTTTCTCATAATAACTGAAAAAAGGAATATATCGTTGAAGGGCTGCAGCGGCTGTTTGATACGAACAGTGTCAGGGGCGGATTTGGGGGGGGGCGGCCCGGCCCCGGCCCCCCCTCTTTTGGGAAGTTAAAAAAAAAGAAAGAAAAAAGAAAAAATGATAGCCCACAACGCCTCAAATGTTATTTTCGGGCGTCTAGAACACAAACATTTCGCGGGGCATGACCCGGACCCCCTAGTACATTGTTGTCTCGATCGGCCGAAATTTCGGCCCCCTTTTTGGCCCCTCCCCCACTTTTGGACATCTCTGGATCCGCTCCTGAGTGTTCCTAATTTGAGCACTGTTGTTATTAATTTATTTGCTTAGGCCCATGTGTTCACGGTGCTACGCAGTAAGCCTAAAACTAATTTGAACTTATGATTTCAAAGCCGCGGCGGACCTAGCATGCCTGGATATGAACAATAATATAAACAGACCTGTCCATAACCAGACCTGGCATAACTCGAGCTGCTATTTGGCATTACCTGTATTTAGATACCACGTGCACATTATTAAATAATATTTATTTTTAAAATCCTCGCTCCGGGACATGACCAAAGGAAGGGTAGCGCATTTTACACCCATCTAGAAAACAAAACTTTACCAGGGGAGGGCCCTGACCGCTTCAAATTACTCTACCACAACAAGTCTGCTTTTTTAGTTTTGCCAAGGCCTTCTGCCCTGCCATTGGCGCTAGGGGCTGCAGGAGGGGCGCACGCCCCTGGCAAAATTACTCGCGCCAGCCTCAGTCGCCACAAAAGAATCAAGATCAAGGAGTTAAAAATCACCTAAAATCACCTTATTTTGCTTATTAGCGCCCCCCACCCCATCAGCAATCCCATTTCAAGATTTCTAGCACGCAACTGCGCCCTGCACTGATTCCATTATATATAAATAATGAAAGGGTAATCAAACATTATTTATAATAAGGCTACTGGTTTCATTATATCAGGGAACAGGGTTTCACTGTTCCCTGATTATATATAAATAAGCAAAGCAAAGCAAACACATTATTATATATAAATAATGAAAAGTAACTTACAATTATTTATATATAAGTTCACTGATTCCATTATATATAAATAATGAAAAGTAACTTACAATTATTTATATATAATAAGTTCACTGATTTCATTAAATGTAAATAACGAATTGACTTCAAACTTATTATATAAACTGCTTTTACATTTAATTATATATAAATAATAGCTTTCGCAAAACCATTAAATGTATATAATGCTTGGACTTCAAACTCATTATATGTAGCCTACCGTACAAGTGTTATCGTGTCAAGGTCATTATATCTAAATAATGGTTACTTACTACCAATTATACATAAATAACCGTTGAGGTTGAGTGCCATTATGATAAAAATAAAAATTCTGAAACTTTAATTCACTGGTGGCACTAACGGGCTTCCGTAGTTTTAAGCTAAGCCCCGTCACTTGGATATTGTTGCTAAGGTCCCACAAAAAAAACATACACAAACACGTGCTTTTTGTAGGACAACACGTGCGTTTATGAGACCATAGGCGTAGATCCCGGGGGATGGGGATATATCCCCCCCCCAATATTTGACAAGGGGGGGGGGGATGGTCCATTGTATCATGCCCCCCCCCCAATATTTTGACTATGTATGGGATAATATGGAGCTTTACACACAAAAGACTGTCACAGAAATAATTTGCACTCTCGTATGCGCTTACAAAGATGAAAATTAGCATAATGTATTAATGTTGATAACAAAATTATTTTATCTGGTACCAATCTATAAGCTCTTCTCTCCTTAGATGTTCGATGTGCTTGCAAAGAGAGCCACATTTCACACTGAAGGGTGTTTACGACATTGCAGTAATGTTCATTAGGCCGACCAGCCCTTTATAAACTAACGTTAGAATACCGCACTTTCGGCGGTAAAGAACGATTAAAACCTCATAAAAAAGGCAACTAATCCGTTTACCTATAATTGAATCCAAGGACACCAGTGTTAAACACTCAGTACTTATCCTTGATAATGTGTTAATCCAATTAATATAGTGAGAT